GGGTGAAGGTATTGGGGTACTCAGGGTGCAGGACACCTGGGGGTTGGGAGTAGGGGGTGCCCGGGATGCTGGGTATGGAAATGGGAGTGTGGGGTGACAGGTGGGGTGCCCAGAGTGTTGCAGTGCTGGATACCTGGAGGTGGAGGTATCAGAATGCCCTGGGAAGAAAGGGAGTGGGTGTGGGGACGTCCAGGGTGCTCGGGACTGAAAGTGAGGGTATTGGAGAGCTGGGGGTGCTGGGGACCCTGACATGGGGATTACGGGGTACCCTAGGCGTGGAAGTAGAGTATTTGGGATATCCAGGGTGCTGGGGACTGGAGGTGAGGTGTAAGGGGTGCCCAGAGTGCTGGGGATTCTGATGTCCTCAGGATCCTGCTGTCTGTGGTGCTGAGGAACCTGCTCTTCGGGGGTGCCCTGTCCCTCACCCCACGTTGCTCACTGTCTCCTCCATCCCACAGCGCCTGATGCCTGTCCCCACCTGACTCCACCACGATGGCTGGGGCACAGGGCTGCGGCGAGGGCAAGATCGCGGGTCTGTACGACCTGGAGCGCACGCTGGGCAAGGGTCACTTTGCGGTGGTGAAGTTGGCGCGGCACGTCTTCACCGGGCAGCGCGTGGCCGTGAAGGTGATTGACAAGAGCAAGCTGGCCGGGGAGGCGGCGGGACAGCTGCTGCAGGAGGTGCGCTGCATGAAGCTGGTCCAGCACCCCAATGTGGTGCGTCTCTACGAGGTCATCGACACCCACGCCAAGCTCTACCTCATCCTGGAGCTGGGCGACGGAGGGGACATGTTTGACCACATCATGAGGCACGAGGGAGGCCTGGCCGAGCCACGGGCCAAGCACTACTTCGCCCAGATCGTCCACGCCATCTCCTACTGCCACAAGCTCCACGTGGTGCACCGTGACCTCAAGCCCGAGAATGTGGTCTTCTTCCAGGAGCAGGGGCTGGTCAAGCTCACCGATTTTGGGTTCAGCAACCGCTTCCAGCCCGGCAAGATGCTCACCACCAGCTGTGGCTCCCTGGCCTACTCAGCACCAGAGATCCTGCTTGGGGATGAGTATGACGCCCCAGCTGTTGGTAAGGGTGGTTGGGTGCCCTGGGGATGTGTCTCTTGCCTGGAGTGTAGTCCTGCCAGCTGGGTACCACCTCACTTTCGGCCCCTTACACTGGGAGCACCCGGTGACACTGCTGTCCCTGCAGGGAGCAAGCCTGTCCCTTGGGTCTTCAGCTGCCCTGGCACTGGGAGGTCCTCCCTGCAGAAACCATCCCAGCACCTGCCAAGATCCCACAGAAATGGTTCATGCCAGGGAGTGGAAAAAGCCCAAGCAAGCTGCAAGCCTGGTGTAGCACTCACCAGGGCTTGGGAGAAGCAGTGTGAGGATGCAGCTGCAGGCAGTCTGGCGCTAGTGGTTATTTGGGGGGTGAGGCAGGAAGGAAGTCTGCTCGGGATGCTGCTGTTCGGGTGGAGGAGCTCTGAAAGTTTCCTTTGCTCCATCCCCGCCCTGAAAACCGCTTCCTCTCCATGGCTCCCGGCGCCCTTCCTCCCTGGCCAGGGCGCGGGGTCTGGGGAGAGTGTCCCAGGGCGCAGGGCTGGGGGCTCCGAGAGGCTCTGCCGTGACAGAGGGGACGTGGGAGGGGAAGCAGGATCCAAGCTGGCTGGCTGGAATTAGGGCAGGAGGATTTAGCAAAGCAAAACACGAGCCCTTAAAGGAAAAAGCCCAGCGTTGGCTCAGGGAAAGGCGGATCCCGAGTTGAGAACAGGGATAGCTTATGGAGGCGGTAGAAAAATAAGCTGGTGGCGCTGCAAAGGGAAATGAAGGGAGAAAACCGACGCAGATGAGAAATTTTCAAACACTTGACTTAAGCAGCTGAAGATATTAACGGAGAGCCCTGGGGCGTGCTCAGCATCCTAAATCTGCCTTCTGCAGGAGTTTGTGTTCTGGGCAGGAGGAGCCAGTGAAGATGCTGCTGGCTCCATCCCTGTCCCTGGGGCAGAGCAGTGATTCCACTGCGGCTGGCACCCACGCAGCTGGAGAGCCTGGATCAGTGCTGTGTCCCTGTCCCCTTGCTGTAGTGTCTCCTCTGCTACAGCCCAGAGCCAGGATGGTTGTGGTGGGGTCTGGGAACTGAGAAGCTGAGGAATGACATGAAACAGTGCTGTGGGAGGGTGACTGGGGAGACAGAGCTCAGGGTTGGCCTCCCTGTGTCCCTGCCTGGGCAAGGGGATAAGACCCTCAACTGCTTTGGTGAAGCTCCTTGAGACCTACTTGGATGTGGGGATGAGGAAGGTCCTTCCCTGCCTTAGTGGGGCTGTAGTCTCCTTGTCCATGGGGCAGGATTTGGGAGCTGTTACCTCCAAGGAGCATCCCAGTGAGCACTGGTGTCAGCTGGATCAGCACTGGGGGCTGGTGGGATGGACCCCCAAGGTCCCTGGAGTGGGGGGATCTCTTCTGGGCCGTGGTGAGTGCAATCTGAACTACTGCTTCTTGCAGATTTTTTTTCCTCTACATGCTGGTGTGTGGCCAACCCCCTTTCCAGGAGGCCAACGACAGCGAGACCCTCACTATGATCATGGACTGCCGCTACACCGTCCCCCCGCACGTCTCGGCACAGTGCGCTGAGTAAGCACCACCATCCCCACCGTCCCCCCTGAGCCCCGACCTGCTGCCCCTGGGGTGGGTGCCCCATTCCTGGTGGACGCCTGGGAGCGGAGGTGGGAGAAGGAGGTAAAGCTGCTTTGTTTGGGGTTCACATGCTGCTGCAGGGTTGCAGTGTCACTCCTTTCCCCCAGTCTCATCTCCAGGATGCTGCAGCGGGACCCGAAGCAGCGAGCGTCCCTGGAGCAGATCGAGGGCCACGCGTGGCTGCAGGGGGTGGACCCGTCCCCCGCCAGCCGCTGCCTGCTGCCCCTCACCTCCCACAAACGTGTGTCCGAGGAGGAGCACGAGATCATCCTCCAAGCCATGATGTGCGGGAACATCGCGGATCGGGACACCATCCAGGAGTGAGTGATGGGGCAAGATGCCGAGGTGGGAGCCCCTGCAAAGGGCTCTGGGGATCCCTCCAAGCATCTCCCTTGTGTGCTGATGTGTGGTCCCACACAGGGCACTGGAGGCTGATCGCTACAACCACATCACGGCCACGTATTTCCTGCTGGCAGAGAGGATGCTGAGGGAGAAGCAGGAGAAGCAGGGCCACCGCCTCAGCCTTGTCTACAACCTGGCCAAGGAGGTGCAGAGCAGGTGAGCTCTCCCGCTGCCCCCGTGTCCCTCCCACGCCATCCCAGGTCCCCAGTGCAGGGTCTTGGCCAGTCCCCTATCCCCTTCCTTGCCACAGCTCCTGCGATGCCCAGCTGGGTACTGACACCTCCCACCTCCCTCTCTCCCCTTGCTCAGGACCAACTTATCGGACACGTTTGGCTCTGTGGGCAGCCCCAGCAGCCTCCTGCCCTTCACGGAGAC